ATCACTTCTTGTTTCTAAGTATGAAAAAAGTCTGTTTTCTGAACTGTGAATGAGTATTCTCAAAACAACTCTCCATTTTAGCTCTTTCACTGTCCATTTTTTAATATAGATAAATAACTTTCTCAGTTATATCTGAAATGTGAAATTAGTAAACTAAGAGAATTTTCAAGGGTAAGACCTTTTCTTTCACGCTCTTCAAGGCTAAGCCTAAGAATACGTAATGTGAGAGTGAAAGGGTTAACATATGGGGAAATAATTGTTGTTTAAATGTATATTATGGTTCCCTACTTACAAAGAAAGCTAGAGAATTATAACTAAAGTTATAACATTTCAAATTTTTATGATCAAAATATGTATCAGAATGTTCAAATTATTAGAAAAGTGTATGAACGTATTTGAGCATGCAGTTGGTGTACAAGCTGAAACAAGATGAATACTGAAAATTAGGCTTAGCAATTCATATTACTCGGTAACATTTTCAGTCTTACTTAAAAATACAATTGAAAAATGGTAACTGGCATTGAGCTTATCTATAGCATTGACAGCTGGTTAGTGCTTTAATCTTTTATAATTAATTACGGTTGCCAATACACAAACAAAAAGTTTTTCAGCAAATAACATTTTTATTCTCTTTACAACATACAGTGACTCTGTCATTTACTTCCATTATTTTTCATCTGAAATCTATTCATTTTCAGTTCTCCATATATAGTTTTTATTTTTTATCAGGTTACCTCTTTTTCAAGCTGTTCTAAATCCCCAGCCAGATCTTCCCTAGAAGGGTTCTCTTCTAAAGCTTTCTGTGCCAAATAAGCTTCCTTTTCTAGCCGTCGTAAATTAAAAACAAGAGACCTGTAAGGATACATATTATAAACAACATATTAATGGAACTGTTGTAAAGCAAGAGTGAATAATCTAAGAAGCTACAATTCATTTCTGCTTTGTAAATTTGCTGTTTACAATTTCTAATACTACAAAGAATAATATAAAAATTGTGTAATTTTATTTATAACATCCTTTTTTTATAACTACATACAATTAACGATTGTATGATTAAACTGAACAGTGAGCACAAGAAAAATAAACCATCACCTGACTTGGTTCTGAAGTTGTAAAATTGGAACTTTCTGGTCATCTATTGAGCATAGTTGCAACTGAAATCTCATTCTCTGAAGCTTTTCACTGGCTTCCTTCTTTCGAGGTTCCACGTAAAGGAGTAGGTTGTTAACTAAGTCTAAAATCATAGCATACTGGAGTGAATTTGTACAAATATCAAGATCATGATGAGTTAATGTAAATGAGTCCACAGCAACCTCCTGATCCCAGGGATCATCATTGGTAGGCTAGAAAACAAGTCAGTAGGTTAAATTATCACTACAGACTCTTCATTAAACAGTAAGCAAGTAATTCAACAAACATTCAATTCTGTTTAACAAGGGTTTCCAAAATTCTGCCACCAAGTACTTTGATCAATAATACAATGATTCCTCCAGTAACAAAGTATGATAATGAAGAAAATAATCTATATTTTCTTACCTTGATTTTTTTTTGTCAATAAAGATTTGTCCATGACAAAAGATGTAAATAAGTTTGAAGTGAATAAAAGTAAAAATATATTTTTTTATTTTTGCATTATTGCTGTTCATGAAAACAGTATTTACAATTCTGGTCAAATGACCTTGAGTAGGAATGGTCACATCAGTATTTTTCTTTCTTTTACAGTTTATTCAATGATTCAAAGTCTTACAGCAAACAGACACACACACACAGACGTGACGTACTGAGAATTCAAATGCGTAAAGATAAACCTTAAATAACAACTCTTTATAGTTACAGCAATTGTATTTTACAGATGTTTATAATGTGGGAGAGAAAATACCAAAAGGAATAAAAAAAAGTCAACTTCTGTGATAACATGACTGATTTTATATTACAATATCTAATATTCAATAGGTAGAGGTCCTGAATTCCAGTAACATCCTAAAAGTTATTGGCACATCATTAAATAAAGTTTTATTTAGATAGAATAAAATAAGAGAAATTAAAAGTGATCCTATTTAAAAACTGTGTAAAAGAAAGATTTGAAGACATAAAAGACATAAAATAAAGACATAATCAATAAAGGCATAAAAGACATAAAATAAAGACATAATCAATAAAGACATAAAATAAAGACATAATCAATCATACTTAAAGAAATTCACTATCAAGAAAATGAACAAGTTATGAAAAAGAAACAAGTAACTGAATTCATTTTTCGATGACGAGGAACCCACTTTAAGACTAATAATGGTTGGAGACGGCTTGAATGGGTAATGAAGAAAAACTTTAATATAAGTTTAACATAATTGCAAATGTACAACGTTTCGACAAGTTTTTGTCATGAATTCATTTTTATTTAACAGCAATTTGGCCAACATGTCTTCTAACAAATACAAGGAACTACAATGTGAGGTGACTTTAATCAACAAGGTGGAGATTTATATCTATTCAAACTGGAATTTTCGCACATAACATATCTTAGTAAGATATATTATAACAAAGCTTTCCATGTCAGTTGCACTTGTAGATGTAGTGATTATATTTTTATACCTAATTATCAAGGTTCACTTGATAGAGCCAAACATAGCTATCCACCAGAACTCTCTCTGGAAAACTTTTTTAAAGTTACAAACTTTCAATTTATAAATACAAGTAACTCAAGTAAGTTATGTTATAATGTTTACTACTCATAGTTTATCAGATATAACAAAATTTGTAAAGTTACTCGCATTATTCACAAAAAAGGTTTCTCCTATTGCACTTTGAACAAGTTTACTCACCTGTCATAATTTACCATTGTTGTTACATCCTTTTCTAAATACTGATATTATTACAAGTTCCTCAAATCTTTTCATGTTTACTTTTTTGGTTACAACTTTGGGATTAATCTTGCCTGTGTTGTGTTAAAAGTCAGATTAATTTTGTTAGACAGAACCTTGCAGTACGTTTAGAATATTAGTTTTATTACAATGGACTTTGATATGTATTTAGCTAGAAGGTCACTCAGTGGACCACATACTTCTGCCATTTAGCATTGACCATATTTGGCTCTCAAAAAATTCGAAAATGTGTCAGTACGTCCGTCATTATCTATGTATATGGACCATTTTTAGCAGGACAATGAGGAATAATATTCCATGTAGGTCCATCAAATTGCATCAAAATCTGATCATTTTTGACTGAGTTAAATTGCAAAAATAGTGTGAAAAATTGGTCCCATGTTAAGAGATAGGAATTTTTATTTTATTTTTGTGACTTTGACCCTCCAAAAACTAATCACTTTTAATTTGGATCATAGTCCAAATGTATACCAAGTTTTGTCCAAATCCATTCAGCCACTTTCAGGAGATCTTTCCGGCAAACACACAAAGAGGTAAAAACATAACCTCCATCCACCTATGGTGGCAGAGGTAATTAGAGTACCAATTTTCTAGCTACTTGTTGATTAATTCTGTTATTAATTTACTGTTATTTATTATTATATTCCTTCACAAGTAACACGTCATAGTAATTAATCTTGCATGCCAGGCTACTATAAGGTTAAACTGTCTAAGCTGTTTAATGGATTTTCATTGGTCATGAGATGTTCTTAGTGAAGGTTTGTATGTTCTGATGTCAAGTTCTTCAAGGAACATTATATCTATGATAGTACATGAAACAAATCCCTTGCGTCTGTGTGTGTGTTCTGTAAGTAAAATATACTTAATCCTTTCTTTATTGTTACTGTTGGTAAGAACGTTTAGTAAGTCCATTTTTATTAATTCTAACTTAATATATTATGTTTTTATTATAAAAATGATTTCGCATTGTTAGCTTAGAATATTTATTAAGGACTAACCAAAAATTTCTTAAGCTGGTCGAACTTCGCGAGATATTATTGGGATTACGGTCAACAAAAATCACCGACAGTACGGATACCTAACGAATGAAAAACTTCATTCTATTCTTTATAAGTAAGAACATAAGGAAAATATATTTAGTTAGCTATATTCATTATAAGGTTGATTTTTAGTTATGATCTACCTAGGTAGCTTGCTTTGATGAGAAGTTTAATATATATATATGTTCTTACAGGAGGATGGACTTCTTCCAAAGTACTTGGGTCAACATTTTCCCCATAGCTGGCATAGAAAAACTGACAACCACATCGAGATACTATGCGTTGGAGCTGTAATGGGGCTGAAGTAGGATCTGAAGCTCCACCAACGGTGCTACTAACCACACCACCAACACTATGTCCACTTCCAACAAGGTCAGCAAGATCACTAATAACCATGGAGTCTTTCTGTGCCTCAATATTGTCCACTGTCAGCCACATAACATTATCAAATGAAGGTGAAGGATCTCCAGCATCTACTGTTGCATAGTACTGTTAAATTACAGGAAAAAAAAAACTTTTCTGAGGAGAAAAAAATTATTTTAAGAGAATTTAAACATCTGAATTTATACCATAACTAAAATTTATGGCCCAATTTATTTAACACTATCATATAATAAGGTTCTAACCACATTAAATAATTTAATAGCCCATTATAGTTTCCCTTAAACAAAATAATCTAATCATTTAATAGAAGCTTAACACCTTTTGTATTGTAACAAAAACCTACTTTGTATAAAATCATTCCACAACCTATTACCATTAGTTAACATTTATAAAAATGATATCATAAATACTCCATAGAGGTGCTTGAAAGATATAGTATTATAATTTTTCAACTAGTTTTTCAATTTCAGCCAACATTATGTAGAAGGTTTAAAAATCTTAAACGCAGTAATGAATAATAAGAAGCTTGAAACTTAAAGTGGCTAACTAAGAATACTATACTTACACTTAAGCAAACATAAGTGTAAAGTGAAAAAAATGTACTTCTTCCTACAAACACAGAATTCAATGACATAACTTTCAATAAAAGTATGTTTCATCACTTTACCTGCATACACTCCAAGGAACCGACCCATGTGGTTTTAGACACTAGTGTTCTTTCTTTCCAAGTGTGTCGATGAATGCGTTGAAGGATCTGGGCCTTGGAAGCACTAACAATCACATAACCTGAAGTCTCACAACCTCTCAGCATCACTTGGCTGTTGACGAGTTCAACTATTACAAAAAAAAGACGAAACAAAATATATGGACATTGCATAGATAATGAAGGTGGTATTATACCATATACAAACCTTTAATGGCTACCAATTTCTTAATCAACAAAACTAAACAGAAGTAGCTGAAGTTTCTTTTCTTGTCAATGTTGGTTGGTTGTTTTGTTAGCCATTTTAGCCTATCTGCTCTGTCCACCACGGGGTATAGAACCCCAGATTTTAGTGTTGTACATTTGTAGACTTACTGCTGTTACACCCAGAGACTTTTAATGTTGAATGTGTTACCCTAATTGTGCAGATTACCCATTCAGCAAAATTTAAAGTCAACTTGCAAACTTTTGTTTAAACATCATTAATTCAGTTCACATGAAGGTCATTTATCTATTAATAATCCATGTTTTCTACATTCTCAAAAACAAAGGGAAAAAAATCTTTCTAAAGTTTTTGTTGAATTGTTCATATTATTAATGAAATTAATTAACATTTAGATTTGTAGAAGAAGCACCCTTTCAGTAATAGCTGACTTTTATCTGTTGTAATAAATATATATAAAAACGACTTTTGTGGCACATATTTTTACATTTCTTTGTGGGATTAGCCTGGATCTAATAATAAAAATACGTTAAAGAACCATTGAAATAATGTTAGATAATAACAAAAATAAAGTAAAATAACAATGGTAACAATATATATATAAAAACTAGGCCTAATGGCTAAATTGTTTAAGTAATTTTTTAGTTAGAAATTTATATGATTCTATAAACTAATTCAGGATATTGTATGTCCAGTAATTTTCATCTCTGAATGTTCACCACTAAATAAGATACTAAAATTTATTAAATTAACTAGATCTTGGCAAGATATAATCTAAAGTAGAATAAGAGATTTACCAATTTGGCCAATTTTTGAATATGACATCATGAGGTAGAAAATAACCCATTAACATAAACAGCTCTTTAGCAGTTCATTGTGTGATGTAGTAAAATAAAACCTACTAGCTCAGCCAGTTCTGCTTGGACAGGATGTTGTCTGATGTCACTTACTAACTTAGCTAGTTTTTGGACAGGACATTGTCTGATGTACAAAAACTTATAGCTTTACTAGTTCTTCTTGGACTGGATGTTGTTTGATGTAAAACAACGACACTTACTAACTTAGTTCTTCTTGAAATAGACATTTTCTGATGTAGAAGAACAGAATTTATAAAGTTAGCCAATCTATGGAAAGAGCATCAGCAGATGTAAGATTAAAAAAAAAATCTACTAACTTAGTCAGTTCTTCTGGAAAGATATCAAAATGTACTGACTTAGTCAATGTTTAAATATGTCCTTATCTAACGCAGAATAACAAAGTCTAAAAGGTTCAGCCAGTATGTGGAAAGGGCATCACCATGAATAAAACAAAACAACTAACTTAGCCATTTCTTCACACGAACATAATTGTGTATCAATGTGACATCATATGATACAGAATAATGTAATTTACTAACTTAATTAGTATTTCAACAGAACATCACACGATACAGAATAACAATCTAATAACTTAACCAGCATTTCAACACTACATCATCTAATATAGAATAACATAATCTACTAACTCAGCCAGTTCTTGTGTAATACATCATCTGTTTGACAGGCAGCAACACCATGCAGTTGTTGCTCTTTTGTACCTCCTTCAATCTAAAACGAAAACATAAAATTTTGTTGATGAAACATTTTTTTTCACCAGTCTTTTATTTCTTTTTCCTAATAATTATCAAACAAATGTCAATTATTCGCTTCTTCTGGACTGGTGATTTGTCGTAGGTTTCCCTTGATGTTTTCTTTCTCACATTGGAAATACTTAACCAAATTACATGAAACTTAATTTAATGATCTTCTTTACAAGTCAATTTTTATGAACTAATCAATAAACATATGCATAAAATCAACAAAAGAACAGTTGGTAATCTCTTAATTTTTCAGTTTGTTCTATAAATTAAAACTGCTACTCTAAAATTAACGAATCTCTCAGGGCAGAAAACAGCATTAGATTTCGTAAAATAAAAATAATTTTAGTATTTTGAAAAATGATATTATGATAAAGATGTTTAGTTTCTATAAGCTAAAGTAATTAAACAACACCAAGTTAATTCAAAAAAGATTAAAGTTTAAAAATATGTGTTTTAGATTGATTCATCTCTATCTTTAAATTATGCTGATTTAAAGCTGTCAATCGCTGTTGCTAATATACAAAAGATGTAATCTTTATTTGATAATTTACATTGGTGATTTCATTTTCAGCAGTTTCATTCTGTTATTGTATACAAATTATAATATTTCATGACTATTTTTATTTTTCTGTAGGATTAAAGGTTTTCTGTGGGATTAAAGGTAATGCTAATATGTTTAGTTTTAGCCTGTAGGATTAAAGGTAATGCTAATATGTTTAGGTTTGTTCTGTGGGATTAAAGGTAATGCTAGCATGTTTAGTTTGAGTACAAAACTAAACATATTAGCATTACCTTTAATCCTACAGGCTAAAACTAAACATATTAGCATTACCTTTAATCCTACAGGCTAAAACTAAACATATTAGCATTACCTTTAATCCTACAGGCTAAAACTAAACATCTTAGCATTACCTTTAATCCTACAGATGGAAACTAAACATATTAACACGTTGACTGCCGACTACGAGTATACTCATAATGCCGAACGTACCAGATTCTGCCACTACGAGTATATCGTAGAAAATATTATGCTATTATATAGTAAACAGAATAATGCTGGTATCACAGATAATGCCTCAAACAATCTGCTGCAGTTGGAGGAACATAATTCTATGTAATAATCATTATTAAATATGTATTGTTTCATTATTTGCGCTACTGAAATTCACTAAGGTGCGCAAACACAATATCTTCACAAAGCTCACTTCAACACAACTAATGAAAATAAATGATTATAACTGAAACAATGTTATTCTACATGATCCATGGTATTGTTTGATCAGGTCTGAATCATAATCAGTTGATAATCAATAAACATTTTCAAAATATATTATTTTATTCTTTCAATGTTACAGGAACTAATACGTTCTCACATCACAACCAAATAACAAAAAAAAGTAATTTCTGGTAAATGATTACAAATGTCTGTCTGTCTCCTTGTTTATCTGTTCATTATTGAGGCACATGGTATTGCTTGAAGCAATTCTCTACACAGAGGGCTGGTTTTTTAGGGCAGACATCACAATGTATATTGGCTTTCTCGTCTCCTCCCAGTCTTTGTGCAGACACGACATGGTTTGATTGGCTTCTCTTTCTTTTCTGTGGGTGGCAAACATGAGGTAGTGAAATTATTCATCAATTATTCATGGAGTTGCTTGTCAACCCTGGCCTTGAAGATCCACCATGTTATTTCCTATGGAGTTGCATGTCGACCCTGGCCTTGAAGATCCACCATGTTATTTTCTAGCAGATGAATTGTTACATGTTCACGAAACTTCAAGAGTTTCATTTGCTGTCCCTTATTTTCATTGTGCATTGGGCGTTCAGAATAAATATTTCAATGATGTGAAGGGCAATCTTTTTACACCATCATATGGTCTTTTGTAGAGCTGAGTAACTACGACAACATTTGGTCATATCTGTCTATCCCTGACATGCCACTGTTGTAGTCGCGGACGATATTTGGTTTCTTCAAAATTAAGTTATTTTGATTTGCAACATCAACTATCTCCACCCTGTGCATGTTGCTAATGGTGAGCACATCCCATTTACAAACTATCACTGATTCTGACCACTTCCATTCATGTTCCCCCTTCTTCAACTTTTTCCTGACCACATTTATTGGATTTTCTTTACGATTAAACCAGAGTGTTCCACATACATAGGTTGACTGCTCAGTCAGTTTTTTTCACCAGACCCACAGAACTGTAATAATTATCTGTGTATAAAACATGACCTTTGTCCAGGTTATCAGCCATCAGGTTAAGTACAACAGCTGTAGCTTTTCCAAAACTGGTATCTTCATCAAAGGAAACTCCAGAGTATAAACAGATTTTCAGCACCAGACCACATGATTCACATATTTCATAGAGTTTGATTCCATATCTATGGTGTTTATTTTTGATATGTTGTCAAAACAAGAGCCTGCCACGCCAGAGTACGATGCACAAATCTTTTTCTGGATAGTAAATGTGGACCATTTCATTACTTATATCTTATACAAACGATCATCTTGGGGTTGGGAATTGTCTGCGAAATGCCAAAAACGTAAGACCGTTTGAAAGCAGTTGCAGCTCATAACAACACTGTAAAGTGATGTCTCGTACAAAATATCAGTACTCCAATAGTGCTCCAAGGTAGGTTGGCTGTTTGGACCCATGTGAATCAACAAGGCTAGAAACTTTTTCATTGCTGTTGTATCAGTGTCCTTCCAGTATTTTAGTCAAGATTCTCTTCGCTATGGTCATTGTTTGGTTATTTTGGCTGCTGCATATCAGTTTGTTTCTGTGACCATAATATCCAGTACTTGTGGAGTCAGGAATAGGTCAAAATAATCACCAGCTGAATTCCATACTTTTCATTGAAAGTGAAATTAGGTGATCTTGTGCAACATTTGACCAATTATGCAATGAGACAGTAGGGTTCACATTTACAACAGTTCTGCTTGGTGTTGGAGCAACGGCTGCTCTTCTATCATGAACTGGTCTAGCAGACCCATGTCCACCACATCGTCGTTGCTCCACGAGTTTGTAGTCATTTGGTGCAGACCAGACGAACTCTAGGTTTCCACAAAACCGCCAGTACTCCACTGTGGTCACTTAATGAACGAGTCTGATGAAACCCTTGGGTCACCATTATCGCTAGACTGGTTATCACTGCTATCTTTGGTTTTTCATTTCGACCTGAAAATCGCTGTCATATGAGGGCATTTCTGCAGTCCATCATCAGACTCCATGTCTTGATCATAACTGTCATCATTATCAGTTTCTTTTAGAAGCTTTGCAACTGATCTGAATTCACACGTGCCATTTTAAAGGGTAATGACAGTAGCAACAAAACACACACATGGTACACAGCACATGATCACCAATTGCAGAAACTTAGTACCAAAGTCAATTCAGCACTAAAAATAGTGCTACAAGATAACTTATATCTGACATACAGAATTGAAAATCTTGTCCCGCCATCAGCTACAAGTTTTTCATAACATGGTAATTCCCCACCAGTGTAATAGAAATTAACTTATAATTACTCATTAAAGGGTAAAATGTGAGAATAAAACATATTTATGTGTACTTAACTTGGCAAATGGAATGGATGTATACTATATGAGTCGGCAGTCAACGTTTTAACATCACCTTTAATCCCACAGATAAAACTAAACATATTACCTTTAATCCCACAGATCAAAACTAAACATATTACTTTTAATCCCACATATTACCTTTAATCCTACAGACCAAAATAAACATATTACCTTTAATCACACAGATCAAAACTAAA